GAATTCGTAAGTGATTTCGCCAGGGATTTATTTCAGAGATGCCGGGACACGGTGGATCAGACGAAACGACAAGCGGTGCTGTTGGCAGTTCTGTTAATGGTTCTGGAATGACTTTAGTTGCTTTAGATGTCAGTCGATTGGAACCATTTAATCCGAAGGGAGAGGCACACAATTGAAGTCAGCGATGGAAGAGATGGAAGCGAGCGTTTGATTGGTACGTGACGGGAAAAGGTGTTTCGAACGACGCTCAAAAGCAAGCTCTTCTGTTGCACGTTGCTGGTATGGACGTTCAAGAAATTTATTTCACATTAGGATGTGAGTTTTCAGGCAACACTTCAGGTACTTGACAATTATTTTGTTCCCAAGTCAAACATTCCTTTTGAGAGACATTTGTTTAGACAAATTTCGTAGTAGAGTGAAGAAACTGTGGACCAGTTTGTGTGCAGATTGCGTCAGCGAGCAGCGACTTGTGAGTTTGGTGTCAACGAGGACGACTACATTCGGGATCAACTCATAGACAAGTGTTACTCCAGCCACTTGCGCCGGAAGTTCCTGGAAAAGGAAGGGACTGTTACTTTGAGTGATTTGTAGTGGGTTGCGTGATCCCAAGAAGCAGTTGATAGACAACTGAAACAATACAACACGGACCAGGTAGACTGGGTCAGTGCAGTGAGTGGAAAAGTGGATGGAAACAAGAATCCCAGAAAAGAAAAATTGAAGACATGCTTTAGTTGCAGACGGGAAGGACACTTTAGTCGAGATTGGAGGTGCCCGGCACGAGGTCAGACTTGCGGGAAGTGCGGTACAATAGGCCATTTCAAAGTCAAATGCCCCCAACTCCATCAGTGAGGCAGCCCCCAGTCGGGATCCAAAGGAACGAGGAATAGCAGAGGTGGACATGGTTGGGGTGGCAGAGGTGCTGGTGGATTTTGTCGGGGTGCACGTGGACGCAGAAGACTAGGGCAAGAGGCAAATCTAGTGTCTCGAGGACCTGCCCCCCGAGAAGATGACAAAAAAGATTTTGGAACACCAGGTCGTCAGTCAAGATCCGATTACGCCTTCTCAGTGAAACAGTTGGATGACCACAGGGAAGAAAGAAGTGCATTGGTAACGCTGATCATCGGTGGTGTGTACGTACCAGATGTTCTTATTGATTGGGGAGTTTCATGTAATGTTATGGGACAGCGGACCTGAGAATTACTAAAGCAGATGGGGATCAAATGTGAATCTCGGAAGTCTGCAAAAGAAATTTTTGCTTATGGTGGTGTAGAACCTTCACCAACCCCAGGAACTTTTACAACAGATGTCACGCAAGCTGGGTGTGGGTGTAAAGACGGAAGTAAGGCTGAATTCACTGTGGTTGAAGGCGATGGTCATACGCTGTTAGGTCGCGAAACTGCCAAGGTGCTGAACCTGCTGCGTGTTGGTTCTTTTCAGGCAAACGGTGTTGATGGAGGACGACCATACGGCAGTGTTAGAGAAAAATACAAGGAGTTATTTAGTGGTGTTGGTCTTTTGAAGGGTTACGAATTAAAACTGCATGTTGATGAGTCAGTGAAGCCTGTAGCGCAGCATGTACGCAGGATTCCTTTTGGGTTGTGAGAGAAGGTTGATGCAAAGCTTGATGAACTTTTTGAGGCTGGATATCATAGAGGAAGTGCTGGAAGGGCCGTCAAGATGGATATCGCCGTTGGTGGTTGTTCCCAAGGGTAACGGTGACATGAGGGTCTGTGTTGACTTGCGCCGAACGAATGAAGCAATCGTCAGGAAGCGGCATCCAATTCCAACCGTCGAGGAGCTGTTACATGACTTGAATGGAAGTACCATGTTTAGCAAGATTGATCTCAAGTGGGGTTTTCACCAGATCCTACTCATGTGAAGGTGTAGTCTGATCGTCCGGGTGAGTGTAGTCCTGAGAAGGACTGTTGTCGGTGGCAGTGACTGATGTTTCGACAACCTGTGCGGAAGTCATCATCAGAGTCAAGTGAGTGATTGTTGACCGACAACAGTCCTTCTCAGGACTACACTCACCCGGACGATCAGACTACACCTTCACATGTTACCCCCGGGTTCAAACCATTTACTGCAGATCCTACTCAGCGAGGAAAGTAGTCACATCACTACTTTTGTCACGCACCAAGGGCTGTATCAGTACAAGCGGTTGATGTTTGGGGTGACATCGGCACCAGAAAAATATCAGCAAATCATCAGAGATGTGTTAAGGGGTTGTTCTGGGGTTGCCAACATTGCGGACGATCTTATTGTTCATGGAGGTGACGTGGAGGAACACAACAAGCGTCTTTTTGCTGTGTTGGATAGGCTGAGTGAAGTGGG